TCTTCCGACCATTGGACGTCAGGGATATGAGGCAGGGAGCGGTGGTCAGAAGCCTCCAAAGGGTACCATAGTATCCCCAAACAAAATACTACTCAAAAGGTCCTTGGTTCCACCTTGCCTTGCCAAGCCATCTTGTAGGAGTGGTCGCTCCAGGAATCGAAGCAAAGCCGCACCTCCAAAATTGAATAGGGTTGAGGGTTCTGGATTAAGGGTTTAGGGTTTAGGGTTCAGTTTATGGGGTTAAGGGTTTAGGGTTAAGGGTTTAGGGTTCAGTTTTTAGGGTTAAGGGTTTAGGGTTCAGGGCGGCGGCTTAGGGCTCAGGGTAGATAGGGGATATAAACATACACATATAGAGCCATATGGGTTTAGGAATTGATTATGTTAAGGGATTACATGGGGATCACATGTAATAGGGATTGGCTATGGGAGTTAGATTGGGATATAGGGGAGGAATGGAAAAGAAAATAGAAACCACTGGGTAATTTGGGGCGTGGGGGGTTTAGAGACCTACATAAAAACACTAACTGAGAATCAAATGGACCATCAGATGCACAAAAGAATGGGAACTAGGGGGTACAGGGATTCAGGTGTTTTTCCTAGCGGGCTACAATAAGCTCACATCTCTCTTGCATATAGAATAGCATACCGTACCCAAGAGGAGGATAGAATCTCATTTTGCTCAACATGTGTCGAACGAAAACTGTCACTAGTAGTGGCCTACCATTTTGAACAGTACATGCCCGTGCAAGAACCCCAATCCTGCAGCCTGTTTTGCGGAGCAAAGGCCTAATGGTCTCTGAATGAGGAACTACGGGCTGGGCTCTGTCCTTGAAGATTTTCTTGGAAAAAGGCCCCTTCAAGCTACCACGCATCCTGTGATACGGATGATAAACAGCACTGCCACGAACAAGAATAATCCCATCGCAGTCTCTGTTTGAAGCCGGGCAGGGGACCATGTACTTCCTCCGGACGTGCATCAGCTTGCATTCCTGGAAGTCAAATGGCTTTGTCTTGAGAGGAAGGTCCTCCTTATCGCCTGAACCTGGACTCTGCTCTTCGGCCGAATGCATTACATGTGAGGAACCTAATCAGAATTCACATTTCCCTGCAAACAAGCTCCTGTGGCACTTCCGCGTTGGTGCTGATGCGTTCCCAGCTCACCTTGCTGGTGCACAGGCAGCAAAGCAATTTAGCTTTGGAGTGGAGGTACCCCCATGCTTAGATAAACTGCACGCAGCGTTGGTGCTGCAAGTAGCCATCTTGAACATGCAGTCCTACGCAACTTGGAGCAGGCCTTCATCTTGTCCTCTCCCGCTTCGTTCTGTCGCTCGAACCTTGGCTACACGCTTGTGATGGCATACCCAAGCCCTCCATCATCATGAGGCACTTAAAAATCATGATTTTGGACAGTCCCCTCAAAGAAGGCAGGATCTTGGCCTAGCACTCTATCCTGAACACGTCGCCAGCATGGCCACGAAGTGCCCTGCCAAATTATGCATCTTGCAGCTACTGCAGCGTGCAGGTGCGAGGATGTTAGCGGCCTTCTATGGCTTTCAGGTTTTACCCGACCTTCTTGGGTTCCAGTGCTCCAGAAGCTCTATTTACTTCAACAACCTGGCCTGGGTTCAACAAAAATCGAGATCTCGACTTTAAAAGCTTGGGGCTGTCAAAACTCAATAATCCAATGCAGTCCAATACTGTGTCACCATATGTCACCATGTGCAGGCATAGCCCTAGGATAGCGAAGGCACTGACGCTCAGCGTAGGCAGGCAAATCAGTGACTTCCTTACATGCCGGAGGTGCCAAGAGTTGATGGAACTGCGCTGGTCCCATGCACCTCAGACGGCAGGAAGGGCCCGTGGGCTCACAGTCAGCACGCGCGTTCTGGGACACAGGCGGAGCAAGGCCTTGCCAGGGACCCTGGACAACTGCCCTTCGGGCCCGATCACCTAACCAAACAGAAGATTCTTCCAATTGTACCCGGCGAAAGATGGCGTGCCTGGCTGCGGTCCTCATTCCGCAGGAGGTGGAAAGTATGATCTCCATCTACAGGGATCGTCACCTGTGCATCAGCTAGAATACTGTCTGCACCTCCTTTCATCTCAAGTGCCAGGCCTCAACTCGGTGAACTTGCCTCCGAGCTGGGTCGGGCTTCATGGCCTCCCGAGCTCTATCAGCCACATCTTGATCACTGCAATTCTGGATTGCGAAGCAAAAATTGGGGTCCAATCAAACGGGGTCATTGCGAGAAAGTTGCTTTCGCTGGACGCTGGACAAAAGATTTCCATGACGAATCTTGGTTTGTGAGCTTAGCACTTGTAAAATCGTATCGTAGTATTGATAGTAATAATAATACTAATAGTGATCATCATAGTAGTAATGATAGTCATAGTAATCATCGGAAAAATAGCAGTAGTTACACTAATAATAATAATAATAATAAGATAACAACCTGGTGTTCTTAGTTTGCAATGTTTTCATGCGGCTTGTTGCTGGGTGGGCTAATGACTGAGAGCGAATTTTAGAATCGCTGAGCGGCCTCTGAAGGCCAGGCTTGCTCCAGGCAAAAATCAGCTATAGTCTGAACTCCTAGTATTCCCCTTTCTAAGCCCTATCATAGGAACCTTTATAGTCCCCTATGTAACCCTCTTTAAGGAGTTTTAAACTATAGCTCAAATCAAGATTTCGCTCTGTCGGTTATGGTACTGAGGAATCTGCAAAAAACGAAGGCTTTGACTTCCGTCTGACATTAAAAGGGTTTGAGTCTGCTGTCTTGTACAGCCTCCTTGGCAAGTGTTGTTATCTGTACGGTTCTGCGATACGCTTCGAGAGGCCATGGTTGGTTGACTTGCAAGCCGTTTCGAGTTTTGTTGTCTAGGCTTGGTTGGGGGCGGAGAGTTGAAGCTGCGTCACTTGGTACCTAGACCCTGCAGGCCATGCGGTTTTCTGGCAAGCAGACCAGCCAAATGATCCATCAGTGAAAGCAACACTGCGAAACAAACGGCAGTGAATAACTTACCTCCACATGTACAAGTATCATCTCTGCCACTTAAACTTTTCCGTGCGTGTACGATGCAGTGCACAAGCTGCGAAATCATGTTCCTGCAAGCGCAATCCAATCTCTTTTTCCAGCTCCTGCGCTCGGCCAGTGCATCTTTGGGCTGCGAGTTGTATTACGTTGAGTCCAGTGCTGGAACAAAGAAAGCTTATGCGCCGCGCTGGCGCTCTTGAAGATGGGCCGGCAGCATGTGCTGAGGCGGCCGCCACGAAAACTTCCTGAACTTGCTTTTTGCACAACAAGGCCTTGATTCAGTGAGTTCAGGACAAGGGTTGCAGAGTGCTGCCCAGAAACTTGCTCGGATCTGGGAACATGTCTGGCAGAAGTATATGGCACCTCAAACCGCTGTGGCTCCAACAATACCAAAAACCTTCCCATTCTGACTTGCCCTGCGTATCCCTGCTTGACGTAGACCTAGCTCGCTACTTACATTTCGAAGTGCTGGTGCGTTTGTTCAAGCACCCTTCGAACAACAACTGCGCAAAAAAGCCGAGTAGTGCGCGCAACGGCGATCTGCCAGAGGAGAGCGCGGTACTCGGCCTCTTTCCTTAGATGACTGGCTTCCTGGCTCCAAGTAAATCCAAACTGGTGTCTAGATGCTCCACCAGGCAACTTTGCCTCACTTGATTTCTCTCTTTGTTGTTCAATGGGCAGAACAGCTGTGCCAGGGGTCCCTTCATCATCGATGCTTCCCACAAGCTTCTGAAGGTTGCGGAGGCTGCCCGTCAAAACAGCGACATGTGCCTGCTACAAGCAGTCAGGACTTCCTGGTCTGGCTTGAATGTCAATAAGGTAATTTCCGAAAATAAGGGGCCCCCAATATAGACCCGAGTATACTCTAATCCCCATTGTAGAGACCCCCAAAAAAGGTGCCCATAAGTTTGGGAAATCTCCATAATGGCTCAACCTAAGCCTATGCACTGTGCCTTCGCTGCTGGCCAGCCCAGATACCTCGGCAAAGACGCGCTGGGCTTCGGTTCTTCAACATATCAAGATCCTTGTTGCCCCGTTTGAGCTATAAGCTGTCAGTACATGAGCTTTCAGCATTTTCCCTCAGAGTATCAGCTTACAGGATAAGGACAAGCCATGCTCTTCAGAGCAGCGGGGGCTTTCTTGCATGGAAGCAATGGGAATCCAAGCATGCGCTGCGCGGATAGGAACTAGGCCCTCATGTGCCCTGCGGAAATCTTCCAATAACACAATGAATGAACAGATTGAAAAGGTATGGCCACAAAACAACAAAGTCTGAGCAATCCACCCACAATGTAACCTCCAAGTGCAGGGCAGAGCCATGGCTTCGAAAACACCATTTAGACTCCCCTATATAATCCAAAGTTCCATTTCATTTTCCATTGTCTTGTCCATTCAATTCTCCTTTCTTAGGGGACAATATCCCACAGAAGCCTTACACCCCAAGCCCTAAACCCTAAGCCCTAAACCCTACTAATCCCTAAACCCT